AGAGAGAGAGAGAGAGAGAGAGAGAGAGAGAGAGAGACAGATTTACCAGTATGATTTAAAAAACTAAACATAGCTTCGTCTCGTCTTTTTTTTTTCTTATTATTCCCAGTAATGACAGGGATGAGTACGAATTTAATCCTGCAGGAAAAATAAAATAAAATAAAAATAAAATAAAGGGCTTCCAATTATACGAAATCCAGGACAGACAACAAACGCCCTAGGAAGATATCTCATTACCTGAAGTTTCTCGTCCACCCTGTGATTAAACACGAGATCTTGTTTAAAACCTCTGGCTTGGAAAGTATTTAGGATAATGTTCTTGCTTTTTCTATCACCTTTCCTAATTAATTCTCCACAGGTAAATAGGATCCTGTCTCACCTTCCCCTTGTTAATATTCTACAGGTGTGAGCTTACTACAGAGTTTACCTGGTTTATATATATATACAGTACATATACCAAGTTATTTATGTATCAACGAGTAATATATTCATGCCTATCAGTCATTCTACATATCAGTTATTAATTCTACATATGTATTACTGTATGTATATATCTATCAACAGGTATGCATTTATAACTGTGTCTACCATCTTCCTTCCTTCCTTCCTTCCTTCCTTCCTTCCTTCCTTCCTTCCTACCTTTCATTTCTCCTTCCCTCTCTCTCTTAATCCCTCCCCTTCGTTCCTCTCTTCCTCCCATTCTTTCTTCCACTTCTTTCTCCATTCTCCCTATGCATCCTCTCCCTCGTTGTCAGAGTTATCCAAAAGACCTCTTCATACCTCTCTGTCATCGAGGACTTTATTGTTGGGACGGCAGTGATTGACCAATTAGTTTGTTAGGTAATTAATTCGGTGTTTAGGCACGTGGTTAATTAGATAGTGATGTAAATAGTTGGAGACGTTGTTAATTAAGCAGTCAGTCAAGCAGTTAGTAATCAAGGTACTTAAGTCATTAGTGCACGTGATATATAACAAGCCACTAGCCCACCTGATATATGATATAACAAGCCACTAACCCACGTCATATATAACAAGCCACTAACCCACGTCATATATAACAAGCCACTAACCCACGTCATATATAACAAGCCACTAACCCACGTCATATATAACAAACCACTAACCCACTTCATATATAACAAGCCACTAACTCACGTCATATATAACAAGCCACCAACCCACTTCATATATCTAATAATTCACTAGCTTCAGTATATTTCACAACTACCTCTTGAGATAAGATCACACGAGACTCATATTCGTATAGGCACTCAGCTTAACCTCATTGCATATTCACCACGAGAGTGCAGCCAAAAAGCAATACATATCTCGTGTGCTCTCCTGGTGGGTTTATTTGTGTTAACCTAAATGATTCTTTCACTCTAGCTATAATAAGTGTAATGGGATATCCACACTGTATGGGATGATTATAATGGTATATCCACATTGTTATAATGTTATAATCTACTCGTATAGTGAAACCTCTATATAACGGACAAAGATCTAATGGTTCGTTAAATGGAGGTTTCACATCTAATGGAATCTTGATCTAACGGACTTCCCCCTCCGTATAGTCCGCTAAATAGAAGTTCCACATCTAATGGAACCTTCATCTAACGGACTTCCCCCTCCATATAGTCCGCTAAATAGAAGTTCCACATCTAATGGAACCTTGATCTAACGGACTTCCCTCTCCATAAGGTCCGCTAAATAGAAGTTCCATCTAATGGGCCCTTGATCTAACGGACTTCCCTCCCATAAGGTCCGCTATGGTTCCACATTACTGTACTTCATTGTTTCTCATTCAAGCCTCGATATATCCTGCGCCTGCGTCCTCCTGTGCCCCCATCTCCTCACCCTCCCCTTCTTCCCTCCCTCACCCCTCCTCCCTCCTCCCGTGGCCGTTATTCCCTTCACGACCGCTGTTACTAAAGGTTGGACCAGGAATGCTTTATATGCGTTACGTGAGTCTTCTCGTTTGTGACGGAGGGGAAGGTGAGGGGTTCTAGTCTTCCCCTCTCCATTCACTCACTCCTCCTCTTCCCCTTCTTCCCCCCTCTCCTTCTCCCCTTCCCCCCATCCCCTCTTCCCCCTAGATCTTATTGATTGATGGGTCGCCTCGTAGTTTTAACCCTTTGACTCCTGGAGGTTTAAGTGGCCGTCTTCAAAGGGTTAAACTATTGTCCTTAAAGGGTTAAATCGTCATCATTTAATGGTTAAATCATTATTATCGTCATTGTCATCATCATCATCATTATTATCATCATTAAAGGGGGAAGGAAGAGGATGAGAAGGAGGGAGGGAATGAGAGGGAGGGAGAGGATGAGAGGAAGAGAGAGAGGATGAAGAGGAGGGGAGAAGAGAGTGATAAAGGAGAGATAGAACAAAAGGAGTGAAGGACGGTAGAGGGGAATGTCAGGTTAATTAGAAGTAAGATAAGGTGAGATAATGGTCGAGAGGAACGGAATGGAAGGATAAATGAAGGGAGGAACGAAAAGATTAAGAAGAAAATAAATGAATGAAATAAATCAGAATGAAGAGATAAAGAAGAAATTAAATAGGAAAATAAAACGAGAAGGAAAAGTACCACAAAATAAATACAAAATTGAAACCAGGAAATTAATTATATTTTGACTGTGTGAAGAAGTGGGAATAACGATAAAACTAGTAATTAAAGATAGGAAATAGATACTGGATTAATCATATACAATTAGAGATAACGATGAGAGATAACGATAAGCATATGTGTGAAAAGAGAACAAATCTAAATAAAATAAAATACAACCTGTGTTTTCTAATGGCGGATAAGGCACCGAAGGAAAGCCAATGGGAAATACTCGAGAAAGACGGTGAGAAATATTGGCTGGTAATTGGTGGAGTGAGAAAGACAATAGAGAACACATATTAACCACTATGCAGACACAACCAAACTCTCTGAATAGTCAAGATCCCGGTTTAGTTTCTGTGTTTTAGTGAAGAAGAAGGATGTAGCTGCCAGGGGACAATACGCCAGGTGTATTGTTGATAAGAAGGTGAAGTTAGACGAGACGAACATTGATATTGAATCGAAATACTGTGTTTCTTGTTGGTGTAGAAATGTAGTTGTGATTAATTAGTAAAGCTTTGAGACCAGCTGTGATAAATTAACAAGCCCTGAGACCAGCTGAGATAAACCAAGATACCCGTGAGGAGCTGAGAGAGCCAGCTGCTGGGAAGCGTGTAGTGATCCCAGGATTTACTAAGGTGTCTCAGCAGGTCCTCTGTAATCTGGGGATTGAATAAGGCGTTTCACTAAATCCCCCGAGGCTGCAATGTCTGCCGATAGTATCTCACAAACCTGATCATAAGGGCGTCTCACAAAGGGTGCCACAAGCCTGCTTTCAAGTCTGTGTCTCAGGAGAATGTCTCACAAGCCTGCTCAAAAGGGTACTTCAGCTTACTCACAAAAGTGTCTCACAAATCAACTCTGAAACACCTCATAAAGCACGCAAGACGTCTCATAAATTCTCACAAGACATCTCACAAGATAACCTCACAATTTATCTCAGGAACACATCACACACGGCTATGTGAGCAACACCCACGCCAGGTGAGCACAGGTGTGTAGCTCCCACGGTACTCCTCTCCCTCATCTATGTCAATAATGGCTCGTGTGTGTGTGTGTGTGTGTGTGTGTGTGTGTGTGTGTGTAGACGAAACAGCCGTAAACACACACCTCATCACCTCTACTCAGGATACTCACTTAATTCCCGTCCAAATATAATTACAACATAGGGATTCTTTTTCAATTATTTACGGCAGCAATACTCTAGAGATGGTATAAATCTTGAGCGGTGGCAGTTTGGATAAATATCAACCACTTTATGCATGCTAATATCTTAGGCTTGAGGGGTGAAACGGCTCCCACGGGCATGGCGGTGCGTTAGGGACACTGTGGATATAATATACACAACACACTCTATATTAAGCCTTCGGTATACAAGGAGGAAGAGTGGTGGATAGTGAACTTGACCGCCTTCACTTTCCCGAACTTGTAAATTTACGGACCCGTTTACAGCTGGGTGGACTAGGCGTGCCCAGGGGAATCGAACTAACGACCCCCTAATACGGAAATTTAACCTTCTTACTATTATTTATAAATGGTGGAAAAGTTTCTATTTTATAAGCTTTCTAGAGGAAATTATTAATCATTTATGTTAACAGTGTAAAAATCTTCACTATTCCTGAGCTTCTCCACACACACGCACGCACACACACACACACACACACACACACACACACACACACACACACACACACACACACACACACACACACACACACCATATTCAAGTTATCTTGAACAGCTTTTAGGGAATTTTTGCTAACTTTCTAAACTCTACTTGTAGTTCTGTGTAGCTCTTGAGTCTTGTAAATAACTCCAACTTCTCCTACATAACTCATATACCCGGGGGTAAAATTTTTCGTGTTGATCTTGTTAAGTTATAAACGACTTAAACTTCCACTTGTAGATATGTTCAACTTTGGGGAAAATATTTAGATTCTTACTTTTTTATGTATGTAACTCTAACTCGACATAGTGGGGGAGATGAGGTCGTTAGTATTGAAGATAATGAGCAAAAACGTCGTTATGGCAGGTAACTGAACGATAGATCGGGTCTTAATTAGATGGGTGTAGCCCAGGTAACCGACCCCATGACCCAGGTAACCGACCCCATGACCTACCTGTAGATGAATGTAGCCCAGGTAACCCTTCCCATGACCCCCACCTGTAGATAAATATAGCCTAGGTATCCGGCCCCATGACCTACCTGTAGATGAATGTAGCCTAGGTATCCGGCCCCTTGACCCAGGTAACCGGCCCCATGACCTACCTGTAGATAAATATAGCCTAGGTATCTGGCCCCATGACCTAGGTAACCGGCCCCATGACCTACCTGTAGATAAATATAGCCTAGTTATCCGGCCCCATGACCCAGGTAACCGGCTCTGTAACTTACCTGTAGATCGATGTAGTTCATGTAGACAGCGTAGGGAAGGACGACGCAGACAGAGATGACCCACACGGCGAGGACGGCGATGAAGGGAGGGATGCGAGCCTTGTGTGGGTAGAGGATCAGGCGGTACCTATCCATCGACACGAACACCATCGTCACCATTGTCGCGTGGATCGGTACGTCCTAAGGGGGGGAGGGGGGAGAGAAGTGGATAAACTTGAACATTGTGGATGGGAAATGTGTGTGTGTGTGTGTGTGTGTGTGTGTGTGTGTGTGTGTGTGAGAGAGAGAGAATTACTATAGGTAACCTTTTCTAATTCCTTTCCCAATCCTCCTTACTCCTTCCAAATCTTCCCACCTCTCCAACTCTCCTCACCTTCCCAAATCTCTCACCTTCCCAACTCTCTCACCCTTCCAACTCTCCCCACCTTCCCAACTCTCCTCACCTTCCCAAATCTCACCTTCCCAACTCTCCTCACCTTCCAACTCCTCACCTTTCCCAACTCTCCCTTACCCTCTCCAAATCTCCCTCACCCTCTCCAAATCTCCCTCACCTTTCCCAAATCTCCCTCACCTTTCCCAACTCTCCCTTACCCTCTCCAAATCTCCCTCACCCTCTCCAAATCTCCCTCACCTTTCCCAAATCTCCCTCACCTTTCCCAACTCTCCCTCACCCTCTCCAACTCTCCCTCACCCTCTCCAATTCTCCCTCCCTCATCCTCTCCTACTTTCCCTCATCCTCGGTATAAGTGAGTGGATAATCCCAGGTTAATGGCTACACCTTGAGGGTTAAGAGAGAGGCGCTCCAGTAAATTAGACAAAGCCAGGTTAATCTTCTCGCTATTAGCTACAGTAAATTCGACCAATAGGTACGCCAATAGCATCTGACTGGATGGTTGCTACAGGGCCTTGGCTTAAACTGAGGTCGCTTAGTAACCTCTTTATTAGTGTAGTATATGTAACTGTTGTTGACGTGTGTGTGTGTGTGTGTGTGTGTGTGTGTTTGTGTGTGTGTGTGTGTGTGTGTGTTCACCAGTACCACCAAGAACCATGTATAACTTTTACCATTCCTAAAATGTCAAATATTCCAGGAATTTTCGCCGTGGAAATTTAGTTCTGCAGGAGAAAATTCCAGAAATCGTTCTATAAGCAATTTTTACATCGGCTGAACCAAGTGAATCTCTGTGATATGTATGTGTGTATGTATGTATGTATGTATGTATGTATGTGGTTGTGTGTATGTGTACTAGTGGGTTAGGAAGCAAAGTAACTGACACACACACACACACACACACACACACACCGTCAACTTTGTCTTGATCTGTCATCTTACTTCTGAGGTTTTACTCTTAATTCTTTATTAGGGTTAATATTTCTGAGGCACAGCTGAGACACAGACATTCCTTGGGTACACTGAGACAGACAGACACACAGAGTGACAGAGAGAGGGACAGAGAAGTAGACAGTGTGACAGGGAGGGGGGCAGAGGTAGATATAGTGACAGGGAGAGGGACAGATAGGTAGACAGTGACAGGGAGAGAGAGAGACAGAGAGAAGTAAACAGAAGTGACAGACGAAGAAAGAGTTCATCACTAATGCTTCTCAGGAAATGTAATCACCAAATGTATTCCTTTCATCAGTACAAAAGACTGAGACAAGGTGAACGAAAAGTAGACTCAGAACACACGGTCCTTATTAATATGTATCGTAACGCTTATTTTATATATATATATACTAGACGAGGTATAGATATTACAGTGCTTTGTTAAATATACGTCAAGATCAAACTAAAACGTTATTTGGTTAAAACCTTTTAGGGAAATTCTCCGGTCGTTGGTTCATTCACCTGATAAACGACGACAGGGAAAAATGTACATTGTAATTTAGGGGAAACAGAATTGACGTGCGTTGTTTATCGCTTGGGCACTTGTTACCGTTTCCTCCCCCAGTGTTGTCTAGTAGGCGATGATGGAGACATGATAGGTCCGCGCCTCCTGCCTCTCTCACCACAAGGTAAATTGGAGAAAAACTATGATATGTGTTGTGGTGATGATGGTGATATAGTGTGATGGGTAATGTTTTATAAAGTGATCATAAATGAACTGTAATTAGGAGGCCGACAGAGGAGACAATATTGTTAACTTGATGGTTCCCGAGAATTCATTGGCAGGAATGATGACGGCAAGAAACTCGTGTCATCTATATTTCCAGTGATAATGTAACGTAATTAAATCACAGTTGTATTAAAATACCTCAGACTTTCTTCTAAACATGGAAGGACTCGTAATTGAATAAGTCATTACATGAATGGTTTTCTGTTAATTAAGGTATAACGATGTATGTCTAAACAGCCATCAATGTAATTACTGTATAATCAGAGTGAGGTACACGAGGTGGGTGGAGGCGAGTAGTTCCTCGCCCATACTCGCCCTCCACCCCTCCAGGTCACCACTTCCTCACAGTCAGTGGTGTTGGAGTAACGCCATGTACTGTACGAGTGTGTGTCAGCTGGACTGTCAGCACCGCCAAGGGTCACTGACACTTCTGCTCCTCCACTGTTATGTTAGATGGTCGTTGGATACACCAGTCGCCTCCTCTCCTTAGGGTCGCTGGTTCGTGCCCGGAGCCTTGTGTCTGTCTATCTGTCTGTCTGTCTATCTGCGTTTAGAGTTCAAGAAATAAAGGGACTGGTGTAGTACCCGCCACGCTGCCAAGACACGAGGCTGTGTGTCCGGCCAGCTTACTCATGGCTCACGAGGCTGTGTGTCCGGCCAGCTTACTCTTGGCCCACTTGGGTTACGCTGAGTTATCAAAGCCCCAAGACAGAGTAGGAACATCCACCTTCATTGTGGACAAGATCTTGTAATTTTCTCTTCGTCCATAAATTTTCAGATTTATTGAGTCAGGGAGGAAGGAAGCCGCCCCAACTTGTCTTCACGGCGGTGCTCATGACGTACACAGGTCAGGTCAGGTCAGGTCTTTGTCGTGATACCCGTCCGCTGGGTCGTTCGTTCGTTCCATAGTTTTCACCTCCTGACAGACAGACAGACAGAGCTCCAGCAAGTTTGTTCTTTTAACTCGTCGTCGTCTCCAACACTTTACGACAGGGAGCTGCCAGGGTTACACGAGCAAGGTAACACCACGGAGCAGTTCGACCTTGAAGGGGGCGTAACAGTAACCTTGGATGGTCTCTTCCTTACCTCAGTGCACGGACAAAAACTCACCCGACAGGTTAGGTGAGGTGAGGTGAGGTGAGGTGAGGTTAGGTGAGGTGAGGTTTTGTCCTGACTCGTGTGATAACCAGTCCCCTTCTGTGCTGGCGGAACAAACGTTAATATGTACCATAATAACAATCCCAAAGAAAATGTAAATATTGAATAATTAAATCACCTGAAAATATTTTAATTACCTCAGTAACCAGTAATACTTTTATCTTTTAACATTAACCAGAATTAATTACCGGTGCCTATGACATTAACCATCACTATCTTATTAATTTTATTCAGTATCAGAAGTTCTCACCGCCAACATTATCCTCCGCTTATTATCCTCACTAACGCCGCCATTTACCACCATTATTGATATATTTAACCACAATTATCAACCAGTATCATTAACCATCACCATATATCGTCTACGACTCTACATTATCCATCGTCAATAAACCCCTATCATCCAATAATGTTCGCGATGCAGCTTTACTTCCCGCCAATAACTACCACGCGAACATTACTTCCCGCCAATAACTACCACGCGAACATTACTCCTCGCCATCTCGGGAGGTTTTGAGGAAATATCGCTTTAATATCAGCAGACAGGAGGATCTAGGTCGTAAACACTGTCTTGGCCCCAAACTAAATCCCTCTTTAACCAGAAGCTGTGACTGCATCTGGGACGTAGCGAAATGTGTCCAGGTGTTCAGCTATGTCCTGTGGAAATTCTGTTTACAAATGACGAATAAAAAAATAAATAAAAATGTAGAAATTAAAAAAAAAATGTAGATAAATAAATAATTAAGCCTTATAAAAAATATATTTATAAAATAATGACTATTAAAAAAAGTATAAATTAAGGGGTTAAGACATCGTGCTCATGGGGTTAAGATATCGTACTCAAGGGGTTAAGAGATATCGTGTCATGGGGTTAAGATATCGTGCACTATGGGGTTAAGATATCGTGCTCATGGGGTTAAGATATCGCGTCATGGGGGTTAAGATATCGTACCATGGGGTTAAGATATCCTCATGGGGTTAAGATATCGTGCTCACCCGTGCTTGGGGTTAAGACATCGTGCTCATAGGGTTAAGATATCGTGCTATGGGGCTAAGACATCGTGCTCATGGGTAAGACATCGTGCCCATGGGGTTAAGACATCGTGCTCAGTTAAGGCTCATGGGGTTAAGATATCGACCATGGGGTTAAGACCGTGCTCATGGGTTAAGACATCGTGCGGGGTTAAGATATCACTCATGGGTTAAGACATCGTGCTCATGGGGCAGACATCGTGCTCATGGGGTTAAGACATCGTGCTCAAGGGGTTAAGATATCGTACTCATGGGGTTAAGACATCGTGCTCATGGGGTTAAGACATCGTGCTCATGGGGTTAAGACATCGTGCTCATGGGGTTAAGACATCGTGCTCATGGGGTTAAGATATCGTGCTCAAGGGGTTAAAGGTGAGGGGGGAGGAACGTGTACGGGAGACAATAAGAATGTCGAGGAGGAGGAAAAAAAACCCACAAAATACTAAGTTTTTTTATCATCAAGAAACATAAAGACAAGACTAAAAATTTTCCTGTCACTGTTTTGTCACTTTCTCTAAAATACATGAAAACTCGAATTCATTATTTTCTGTATAAAACTTTTACTTCAGTGTGAGTAAAAAACCCGCTTTACAAACATATATATATATATCCAGACAGGGGTGTGGAGGTGTGTGTGTGTGTGTGTGTGTGTGTGTGTGTGTGTGTGTGTGTGTGTGTGTGTGTCGCGACCAGAGAAACTCCACAAAAATTTATAATGAGGATCTCGTACTTCATGGGACGAGTAAAACTGTCCTGTAATAATTAGAACGTGATTTTTATTCCAACTTCTTTATGCCACGTAGATTTATATGAAAATTTATATGAGTTACGTAATATATATATCATCTTTCAGTGTATATAGGAGGTAGTGTTTTCGTT